TGTTTTTTTTTTTTTTTTTTTTTAATGCTCCGGACTGGCAAATTTAAAGTCATTTTGCTGGCTTATGAAGTCTTTAAATGTGGAAATCATTGGCCTTATGTACTGATACTGCTCTGGAATATGTGACCAGTTAAATTGTTTACTCTTGATCAGAGAATAGTGATTGGCTGGTCTTGACCACTTTTTCATAGAATATTGTTAACCTGAAGGTTTACACTTCAGAGAACTTGCGTACTAAAGCAATTATGTTAAAATCAGTTAAACCAAGGACAAAGGATGGCTTTTATTGTTTTACCATAATTTTTAATTTTTAGAAGTTACAAAGTAAAAATTTTTGAAGTTCTGTTTAGTGACGTGTAGATTTATGTCAGCAAAATTTGAGTTTATCAACGGATTTCAGTCTTTAGAGTTGGAAGACAGTGAAATTTGATTTATGGTTCTTATTAGGCCTACTTCTCCCAAAGGAATTATGATACAGTACTGACAAAAATCCTTTAAGCAGAAGCTTAAGGAAATGCTTTCCATTTGTACTTTTCATAAATTACTTTTTATATAGGACAGTTTGAAATTGAAGGGATCTAAAAATACAGTCATGACTTTCCAACTAAGATCTCTAACTTTGAAACTGGTCTCGGTAGTGACTTTTAACTTACTTTTAAAAGATTAGTAATGTCCCTTACATAGGCAACTGCTATTGATTAGGTTTTCTGGTTTTTGCAAGTAATGTGAACAAATATTTCTTAAAATGAATTCTTACACCCCTTTTTTAGGATATGGTGGTGGTTTTAATGAAAGAGAAAATGTTGAATATATAGAAAGAGAAGAATCTGATGGAGAATATGATGAAGTAAGTTATTTAAGTATGTAGATTTAATACAAATTAGGAAAATATGTTAGAAAATATCTTTAGTAAAAGGAATATTTTTAAATGTCTTGTTTTTCTAAGTACAGTTTGAGACTTCTTGCTATTTTGTAGGAAATCGTAACTGCCATAAATATTAAAAATAATTTTTTTAGATAATTTCAGTGTATTTTCAGTTTATAAAACTACATTGAATCTTTTTCTCCAGTTTGGACGTAAAAAGAAAAAATACAGAGGGAAGCCAGTTGGTCCTGCATCCATATTAAAGGAAGTTGATGATAAAGAATCAGAAGGAGAAGAAGAAGATGAGGATGCAGATCTTTCTAAATATAAATTAGATGAGGTAAGCACTTTCAGTGTCCAGCTTCCCCTTGGTCTTATTTAAGCCACTATGTGATATGAGTGCCTTTGACATCCATGGACCTTTGGTGAAGATAGGTGCTCACAAACAGTTGTTTCCACTCTACTGAGCATAGTTTGTGTTGAAGATGTAAGACTGTTCAAGTCAGAAGCATCCTTCTCTATCAGAGGCACCTATAAATAAAGAAGATAGTAGGAAGACAGAATGCTATGGAAAAAATGTGATAAGGTTAACAGATACGTAATAAAAAGAGCTACTTTTATTTCAGTGGTTAATTTCTGGGAAAGTGAAATTTGAGTTGAGACTGGAATGAAGGAGCCACCAGAAAGAGCTGGGGTAAGAGCACCTTTGGGCAGGACAACAATTACAGCTTTCTATAAGTAGGGAACAAGCCAGCAACATTTTTAAAAATATCCTGCATAGGCCACTAAGGTTAGAACAAAGGAGAGAATGAAGAAGACAGCCCCTCTTAGTGACATGTGTTCTGTGGGGCCAGAGTGTTAAGATTTTATGGTCTGGTTCTCATAGATGTAACTTCAGGGTACTTTCGAGTCTGAGCATAAGAGGCCTTGAAGTGTAATTGTTTAAGGCACAAATTAGTTACATTTATCTGGTTTATTCTTCAGATTGCCAAGTCTCAGTATGTTGACAGATTAGAGGGGCAAAATAGATTAGGGAAATGAGCTAAGAGATTGCTTCAGTAATAGAAAAAAACGCAGCAAAATTCCTATTGTAGCCTAAAGATGATAGAATCGGGGACTTCTAAGGCACTAGAATTGGAAATGCTATAGCTAACTTAATAAGTGGTAATGGGTTGTGACAAAAGAGGAAATGAATATGACTTCTAGGTTTACATCTGAACTGAGACAGTAATCAAATCTTTAGCTGAGATGAATTATTAAATTCCAGAATAGACAGTTTTCTTTGAGATAGTGATATATCCATACAGTGAGTCTTCTACATGGACCTAGTCATTTTTCCTAGTAGGTACCATTAATACCTAAATGTCTAAACATACAATTGAATTTTTATTAGGATGAGGATGAAGATGATGCTGATCTCTCAAAATATAATCTTGATGCCAGTGAAGAAGAAGATACTAATAAAAAGAAGTCTAATAGAAGAAGTCGATCAAAGTCTCGGTCTTCACGATCTTCATCTCGCTCATCCTCCCCCTCAAGTTCAAGGTCTAGGTCCAGGTAAACGGGTACAGGTCAAGGGTAACACCAGTCAAAATGTTAGTATCTAACTTCTTTATTTATGAATTTTTTTTGCTTCAACTAAGTAGCTTTACTTTCTATTTTAAAAATTTCACTTATGTCAGTATTTAAAAGATTTTTCATCTTGGTGCCCTGTAGATATTGTCCAGTATTTTCAGAAATGCAAAATCTTAACATGAAATTTTCTTCCCCTATTTTAGCATCATGGCTTTTACTGAAAGTAAAAAGTACAGTTAAATTACAAGACATGATATTTAAGTATCTAAATAGATAGATTTCAGGGGCTGGCTTTTAGCCAGCGGCATAGCGCCTGCCTGGCAAGCTTGAGGGCCTGAGTTCAATCTCCAGTACCAAAAGAAAAAAAATGGAAAACTTTTAAACATTAAGTAAATGAGAGATTTATTTATTCAAGATGTTTAAAGCTTGTATAGCCATTTCCTAGGCATCATTGAGATGATTGTTTACACAATTTTTAATACTTCATTTTGATGTCAGTATTCTGAATAAAGGAACTCATTCAGTCTTCTGCTTTTGATTTCTCAAATTTTTTGAATGTCTAGGAATAAAAAAGACTTGGTGTTGTATTTGAATATTCTTTTTGTTTGTTCTTATGAAGTGCATATTCTCTGGTTTTATAGATAAAATTTTAGCTGAGAGAAAACCAGTGCCTTAAATAGCCTTCTCTTGAAAAATCCTATTCACAAGTAATAATCATGGTCATTGATTTTAAATATATGTAAGAATAAAGTATTAGATAATAAGAACTTTAACAATTATTCGTTAGTTGAATACAATATAAAGCCTGAAAGCATAAAATTGTGACTATAAAATAATTTTCGGAAAAAAGTGTAACCATCTCTTTCTGCAGGAACAAATGAAAGATGTGAATTTGGTAACTTTTATATATAACCGTAGTAGGATTATTAATATATTTTAATCCCAAACAGTAAATAGAAAAGCATAATCAGGTAGCATTAGCATTTAAACATGTAATGCTAGATACACACCACGGAGATAGAATTAGTTTTAGGAACACTCTAGAGAAGTTAAATAATAAACTATACATTCTGTCTTCTCGATGCATTAGTCCTGGGCGACTTCTAATTATAGTCTAATGATTTTGTAGTTTAATCCGAGTAAAATAACAATTTTTAAATCTTTTATTAAAAATTTTTCTTAAAATACTTTGTTTTGAAAATATGTATCTTGTGTGGTTACTTTTTTATATGAAATGGGCTCTAATGCATATTTTTCTTTCAGTGTTCATATCACAAAGCTCAGTTAAGTGGTCCTGGAAAAAAAAATGCTTCCATGTTGTTCCAGGTCCCGTTCAAGAAGTTCTTCCAGTTCGCAGTCAAGATCTCGTTCCAGTTCCAGAGAACGTTCGAGATCTCGTGGGTCGAAATCAAGGTGAATGAGGTAGCATCTCTCTGTAAAGCAGAGAGAAAAAAATAGGCTGCAGAAGGTGTTGCTGCTTTTTCCCCCTTATTTTGCTTCTACTTGTCAATTTTATTTCAGCATTAGAAAACTAATGCACTTGCCTCAGCTTAATTTTCTCACCATGAAATGTTTCCATTGCCAGCAATGTGCCAAGACATTCCCATGATTGATTTAAAGTGGCTTTTTCACGTTATGTATGCAAAGTTTGTTATTTTGATAATGAGATGTGAAGTAGGAAGGCGAACCAAATCTTACCATCAGATATCTAGTATGTTATTATTTTTGTAGATTAGTTCAAGCAAAATTAGTATCGCAAGTGAACATTTTACTATTAAAAGGAAAAAATGCCTCAAAACAAGATTTGTTTTGGAAGCCAAATCCTTAGCAAGCAGCTTCATTATTTATTAGATAAAGTTTATGGGGAGTATTATGTAATTTTAAACAATATTATAAACAGCATATGTAGAATAGACACCCCTCTTAAAACTAAATCAGGTATAGCCAGGTGTGGTGCACACCTGTAATCCTAGCACTCAGGAGGCTAAGGCAGGAAGTTTGCCAAGAGTTTGAGGCCAGCCTGAGCTACCTGTCTCAAAAACAATACAAAAACTTCAAGTACAGTATGGTTAGTTTAGGTAGAACATGGTCTTAATTATCTAGGTTGCATTTAATTAGACCAAAAAGGGGAACTAATTTGTATAAAAGCTAGTATTTGCTCCTAGAAATACTAGTCAAATGTGCTGCCTTTGCTTTTAAGTTATAGAACAGCACTGAAACCCAACTTAACATGGAAATTCACACTGGAGTTTAATAATGACAACTACTAGCTTGTTTAAGCCTCAGCTAGCATTTCAGACCTATAGTATAACCATATTACAGAGAAAAGAATGATATTTTGTATTAACTCAATACAAAATAGCAAATGTTTTTTCTTACGTATTAATATTAATTTTTTAACTTTAATGCCTCTAAAACTCCTTAAGTTTTGGTATTCCTTTTGGGAGACACTAAGGTTTACAGAATAACCTTCATATTCTTCTAAAACATTTTTATTGCTCATAACTTTCCAAAGAATTCTCCTTTTGGGCTTTCTAGTTTTATTTTAAGCCCAAAGGTGAATTTTTTGGGAAGTTTGAGCTAAATTCCTTCAACTAAAATATGTAAATGAAGAAAATTTTTTTCTTTTAATTATTGCACATTTACTTTTGCCTGAAACATGTCAATGTCAACACGTCATACTTCATGAATAGTATTACTTCATAAAAATAATGTGAAAATAAATCTTAAAATTAATCATTTTTCTTTGAATATTTAGCAGTTTCCTATAGTTAATGTTTGTTCTTATTCCTGTACCATATTTCTCATTTTTCTGTAACATCTTAATGAGTTGTATAAGTCCACAAGGAAATATTTTTTTTATTTTCCCCAGGAAGTAATATATAACATATATTTTCCCCAAATGCAAGGAAGTATTTTCTGAATATTAAGTTACACAATTACAGTTACGTGTTGGTTTTATTATTTATGTACTTTAAATTGAAAAAATTTAAACATGGAAAGAATAAATTCTGTGTAAGCTGATTTTCAGTTACAAGTAATGAATACTTAAGACTCTTAGATGTAATTAAAATAATTGTATTTAAATAGAATATTTTCATGGTTGATCCCGAAGTCTTCTGTTGAGTATAAGCAGTAAGTATTCTTTCTTATAAAATTTTCGGTTATAAATTCTGTTTGCTTATTTTTGGAAACTGAATAATCTTCATTTCTTTTTTTAATGAAATGTTTGATTTGTTTCTCAATCAATGAAGATCCAGCTCCAGGTCCCACAGGGGCTCTTCCTCCCCACGAAAAAGATCTTATTCAAGTTCATCATCGTCTCCTGAGAGGAACAGAAAGAGAAGTCGTTCTAGATCATCTTCTCCTGGTGATCGAAAAAAAAGACGAACAAGATCACGGTCACCCGAAAGGTTTGGGTTTCTGTAGAAATAAGAATGGGTGTTCTTAAAGTGTATTTAATAGACAGACTTCCTAGTCAAGGGTTAGGTATCTGCCTCCTTTGTTCCAACATTAAATTATACTTCTTATCTTTAAAACATCAAAAGCAAGATTACTTTGTTTAGTTTTGTACTTGAATCAAGTTTAGAAATAAGTTGTAGATCAAACTATTCTCCGATGATTGTTTAAATTTTTATTTCCATTTAATTATAGCCAACTCTCGGTTATTTTTGTCTTCTAAAGATCGCAGTTCAGAAGCTGTATGTTTATTTGAAGTAATTTGCAGGTTGATTTTTATATTATGTTATTTTTTAAAGAAGTACTTTTACTAAATTACTTTGTATTGACATTTTAAAATTTGAGGAATACAGTTGTTAACTGTCAGCCATTCATATGACAGGCTGATAATAGTCAAATTTATTTTTTTCCTTGGTTCTCAGTGTCTAATAACTTAATCATTTTAATAGCTTCTTTTATAATTTTGCAGATTGGCCATATATCCTCTTAGCTTGTAAAAGGAAGTATTGTAAAGAATGATAATAGCTGGGTTCACTAGCAGGACTTGTACACAATGATTAGTTTTGTTTCTTCACATTTTGAAACTCTTGATTACACATCGTCTTGTTTATGTGTATTTGTTTCTTTGTAAGAAAATTACTCTGTACTTGAGTGAAATTCATTCTGTTGCTTTCTGATCATTTCCGCAAATTTTTATCTTAGCCACATATAATCCCCTAGTTTGTTGTCATCTAAACTTAATGAACATGTTCTCTATTCCATAAGCCAGGTGATTGGTGAAAACACTAAACAACCCTGAGCCCAGGGCCAACCCCTACGGAACACCACTACTTTACCCAGGTTGATATTGAATTATTCATATTAGCTGCATGAATATAACACTATAACTAATTGTACAGTCATTTTGTGTGACCTAGATTTCCAAAACTTAATTATTTATGAATATTTTTCATACACAGAAGCCTTGCTTTATCTGTTTTTACATATAGGCTTATTACACTTTATATAGTATAGCAAAGAAATTGGTTTAGTTACACTTCCCTTACCAAGTTTACATGTGTTTGTTGTACATCATGTGTAGTTTATGCATTTTTGCAAGGCTTTTCATTACCTTAAATAATTGAGAGGTGGCTATATTTTGAAATGAGAAGAGACTTTTTAAATGTATAGGGTTTTGATTACAATTATACCATTACTGGGCTCACATCTGAAGTCTAAATACCAGGTAATTTTGTGTATGTAAGCTTATATCTTCTTAATTATTCCTTTTGCCAGCAGCAAGATGTTTAATTTTTTGTAGTCTTTAGAATGAATGCTGAAATATACCACTAACTTACTAGTTTGCCTGCTTTCTCCATTATGTCTTACAGGCACCACAGGTCATCTTCTGGATCATCCCATTCTGGTTCCCGTTCAAGTTCAAAAAAGAAATAATGTATTAAAATTTACGTCTTTAAAAAAAAATACAGTACAGTGCATGAAACACTTTTTAAGAAGTTGATGTCTTACTTGGTCAGAAGTGCTAAATCTGCTAGTAGAGGTGCATGCCTTCATTGTTTTTCAGAATAATACAATGTGTTTATTTGTGAAATTAAAAGTGAATTGCATTTTAAGCCATAATGTCCCGAAGTAAAAGCTCTTTTGTTCATTGTTTGCATCCATTTACCTAAAACCATCTCAGTTTCAACAAATAGTCCTTGGGAAAAATCTGCTATATTAACCTGGAAAAGAAATTAAACTGTTTGTACTTTTAATCTATGTCAGAGTGATTCCTGCTATAAAAATTTAAACTAAGTTATAAAACAATCAACTGGGAACTTCATCTTAAATTCCCTATGCTTTGGGTGCCTTATTCATTGCCTCTTTTATACAATTTTTTACCAGTTTTGCATCACCACATTTAATGGCGGACAAATCTTGTGGATTGCAAAAGAAACAAGGTGTTAAGCATTTTCCTTTCGGACACCTAATTTGGGCAAGGAAAGAAACTCTTACTAGTTTATCTGGTCTCTACTAATATGGTTGCCAGTATGGAAAGATGCTTATTCTGAGTAAACGTTTTAAAAGGTTTGTGCAGTGTCCTAGAAGAAAACTTAGTTACTAAATACAATAGGTTAGAGAAGGCTAAATTGTACTTGACAAATTGAAGATTTTGAAATGTGTTTCTGTTGGTGAAGGCCCAGCAGAAACGTGAATTGAAGTAAATTTTTCCCTTGAGATGTGTAACTCTAAATGTATTACATAACATTTTCTTCTGGATAGCAATTGAATACTTATTTCTGCATGATAAAAACAGTCATTTTTCCTTTTTTACATGAAAGTTATGGCTTAAAATGCTTTCAGAGTTTCATTTCTCAGAATAAAAATCTGGTCACAAGTTCCATTTTGTTTTCTGGTTTGAAGAAAAGGTTTCTCTTAACAGTGTCTTCAGTGACAATGCAAGGTAAGTATATGAAGGGAAATCAACAGTTGTGCTTGGGGTCTTTTTGTTATGGGGTACTGATTTTTCTCTCTCTCTCTTTTTTTTTTTAACATTGTCTGCCACAGTTTAAGAACAAGGTGTTTAGTAGATAGACCAAACAAAATTATATTTGTTTTTTATTTTAAAGTGTTTTCAGCTGATCTAAAGATGAATACAAAATATCTTATGTAGAAATATTTTGATAATATTTTTACAATGAGCTTTCCCGTGTTTTTTATGTCTTAATTTTCCTTGCTACATTTACTATAGGTTGCACAAGAACTTTTACTCTTGTAATTGTGCCTCAGACTTTTCGAAAGCCCACGTACTAAGTTGCCCACATGATCATCTAGATTCTACATGTTACCATTGGTTTATTCTTGTGCTTTCTGTGTTTAAAACTTCAACTGTACTAAGCAATTGCAAGGTTATAAATTTAGCTAATAGGAGTTGATAGACAAAGTCAGATGATTATGATTTTCTTTGGTTTAAGCTGTGCTAGTTCATTTCATAAGGAAATGATGCTGTAGAGAAATGTAAATAAAGTCTGTGAGTCAAGCATCAAGTGGTGTTTGTTAGAAATAAACTAGAGATTTTTACGCTGTGACTTAATGTGCATTTTTTACCTAACTATAGTTTTTCTTTTAATAGTTTTTATAGTTTAGTTTTGAACCTCTTCGTATTTGCTTTTTATGTGAGTTCTTGGTTTTAAACATTCAAAAACCATGATCCCTACACGCCTTGGGATACTTCAGATTCTCAGTTCTGATTTGAGAGTGTGTATATATGATTTTTACATACATAATTTTTTTTTTTTTAATTTTAATGCTTATTTCCCCCTTTTTTTTGGTTTTTTGAGACAGGATCTCACTATGTAGTTGAGTCTGACCTGGAACTTACTATGTAGCTCAGGCTGGTCTCGAACTCAACGCCATCCTCCTGTTTCAGCCTCCCAAGCACTGGGATCACAGGCGTGCGCCACCACGCCCAGCTCTGCTTATTTACTCTTCATAAAGCACCAAATGTGTGTATCTGCCTCCTGTATCATTTTTAAATGTCAAACTACTCTACTATCTCACATATTTCACACTTAAAACATCAGTAATTTAAGGAACCTTTACAGTTCTCATTTGCCTTCCCATTTGAAACAAAATCTAATTTATCTAGAATTGAAATGTTCGTGTTCCCTAATCCTCAAACCCACACTGTTCTGTTAACACTACCCACTGCTTTGGTTAGTAGGCTGTGATACTGCATTTGACTCCTAAATTGTCTTGTGGTATGCAATAAGTTTTCAGTAGTACTTCGTTTGCTTCATTGAGCTTTGATTGATTCAAATCAGATTCCAGAATGTTCTTCTTAAGGATAGTAAAATTTGATTTGTCATTTCTTTACCACCTTTAGTGCTGTCCAGAATTAAACTGGAATTATTTGCATGCAATAAAAAATTCATGCATTTTGTTTTTGTTTTAGTATTCACATCTCCCCCACAGAATATAGGTTAGCCATGCTGAATAAGTAACCAGTTTTCACCAAGAGCGCACTACTGCCACCTCAGTGCTGTCCCTTCTCCTTCAGCCTTTATGACTCGCAATTTAGAACTCAATTAGGATGCCATGCCTGCTGCCTCTTGAGTTTCTGTAGAACTTGAATGAAATTCCTGAAAGGGGTTTTCTTTCCCTACGATCCCTGACCCTGATCATAGTCTTTCATTTTAGCAAGCAGTCAGTGTTGGGTGAAAGAGTCTGCTAATATCTGTTACTTTTTTTTTACTTAAATGATTTTGATCAATTATAGTTTCCCCTGTGCTAATATGGAACAAATGCTTGATTGCTGGAAAACATGCTTTGATTGCTAAAGCTTTTAGTTTGAATTCATACTTGTAAGAAGGACCACTGTACAAACTAGTTGGTAGACTTTTTCAGGTGAACCTTATTTTTTTTCCTGTTAAAGCTTAATTAGGCCATTCTTCACCAACTCAGAAAACTTTGGAGTTACCAGTCCAGCTTCAGTGGAAGATAAGACTCCTTAGAAATTGCGCACAATTTTTTATGACAATTACGTACTTTGTTGGACCACAAAGCCAATCTAAACAAATTTAAATCAGTGTTTTCTGACCATGGAGTTAAGCTGGGAATTAGTAACAAAACTAGGCAGTAAGAGTTTGGAATTACCTCCTTCTGACAAATAAGGTTTGGGTTTTGTTTTTTTGTTTTTAATGGGAATAAGTGATCTGGCAACCCCAGTGGGTTTAAGTGGGAGATGTGCCTTTGAAACCCTGTAATTGAATTTCAATTAAATTCACTGAGCTTTTACTTCATGAGTACAGAAAAATAATAAGTAATATACAAATTTGAGGATGAGAAGTAAAATTTGGAGCAGAGGACTTATTTAAGCCAAGATCTATCCCTAACACCAGTAACGCCAAAGAGCATTTTAAGCCAAGATTTATCCTTAACACCAAAGAGCATTTTTTTAGTATATTAGCTGTGATGCTAATGGTAATCTGAGAAAGAATACATGTAGTTCATGCTTCCTTCCAGTTTACTACCTTGAACGAGTTTGCAGGTCTCGTTGCAGGGAGTTATTCTTCCTGAGTTGAGGTGGAAATTGGCCAAGGACTGAGATGTTCATAGAGTACCGAAAAGGAGTCTCACGGGTGTGTATGGAGGTGTTTAAAGGATCCCCAAGTCTAAAGATGGGGACTAAAATTGCAAGAAGTTCTTGACAGCCACAGGAAACCACACAGGGGAAACAAATTGCTGAAAGCCAGGAATAGGAAAAAACCAAGGGTGGAAAGCTTGTATGAGGAATAATGGTAAGAATTAGCCAATTTGTCGGAAACAATGCAAACAGGTGGTCCACAATCCTGTACTGAAAGGAGTAGTGCTGGTATACAAAATATTTGGAAACACAATAGATGAAATATGAACCTATTTAAAAAATCAACAGGTCTGGGTCCAGGGATTTAGCTCAGTGGTCCCACCGCCTGCTTTGCAAGTGCAGGGACCTGAATTTGATCCCCAGTACCAAAAAGTGTAATACAAAGGTACTTTTGACATAGTAAAATGGATGAAAATATGGGTCTGTTCAAAGCTTGGGAAGTGCTAACCACATATAAAATGCCGTTTCTCTAAAAATCATTTAAAGGAAATAGTATGTGGTGGGACGTGTACCAGTAAAATGAGGCCAAGAACGGGGTACTTTTTAAAGTTGGAATATAATGCTCAAGTGTTACACAAGGCATCCTGATAGTTCAGATGTAAGGCCCAAATCAACCTGAGATTTGCTGAAAGTGAGCAGTTGGCAGTGGTGTAGGGAGACCAACTTGCAGGCTAAGAAAGCAGGTGTGGAGCGCTATTTTATTCAGACTCAGTAGAAACCATTAGCTGTGTGTAACAGGATGAACAGTATTGGCAGTTGGACTAAAAACTCTGATCTAAATAGTATGCAAAAGACAATGGAATCTAGAGTTACTTTGATATATTAGCTACAATATCCAGTTTTCAGAAAGAACTTAAAGGTAAGTACAAAATGCTTCAGTACATGTTAGCAAAGACACTTGTTGGCAGGATAATTAAAATTGTTTCTCCTTTAATGACCTGTTTAAGATTTAATTCAGTTTTACTACCTCCAAATCAGGCTTTCAACTCTCTCCCCTTAGGCACTTCTGTACATCTTGTTCATGCAGTACACCTCATTTATGCACTACTGTAAGTTTTGCTGATCTGTCACGCAGTACTTTTATGTTGTTACACATTACAGTACTGCATTTTGAGTTGTGCAGATAAATGCAGTCATCCAATTGGAGTTTGAACATTTTAGTGTATTGTCATACTATATATGTTTACTCAGTGACCATTTAATGACCTAATGGCAGGAACAAATTGTCTTTAACCTATTGTATTTTGGGAACATTCACTAAGCATGGTGTGCGAAGAGCATTCATGAAAAGACCAGTCTTCAAAATAACATTTCTATGACCTCTGATACTGCAGAGAGATAAGCTACTATGTTTCAAGAAAAGCATGGTTTGCCTGTTTTTATGCTGAAGTGATTTGGAGCATGGTCTTAGACACGTGTTGATCTCATGATACAGGCAGAACAGCTGTGCCAAAGGGCTAGAAAAATTTTATCAGTGCACTGTTGGTCTCGCTTCTAAGGACTTTGCTCCCAACGGTTCAGGTGAGAATAAAGCTGATTCATCTGAAGATAAATTCTCAGATATAAACTCTAAAAGTGATGTTACCTTTGAAACTGACTTGTAGGCACATTTTTCAAGGATTACATTCTTTAAGACCATGGGAAACAGCTGAACAATTACCACATTCTTGGCTCACTGTTTCATGTGTTTAATTTTTGCTTTTACACTTCTGACTGGGAAGCGCCTTTAGTTCATACTATGCATGTTTTTCTATTCTCTTAGGTATTTACTGCAGAGGTGAGCTGAACTGTGGCTCCTTTAATGCTAGTTTCACTAAAGGATAGTTGGCATTTCCAATGACTTACAGAGCCAAACAGGTTCCTGATTTATGAAATTAGTATTTTAGTTTCATTGGTCCCTTGCAGTGGCCTGCAGAAGCTCCTTCGTTAATGAACCAACACTGTTACATTTACAACAGCCTCCAGCAAATAACTGATCAATGTAACCCTGAGGAATTCATGGACCCTCATGATGCCAGGAAACGGATTGTGATGAAAATAGGAACTGATGCTTTATTTGCTAAAGAATATCGGTTGCATCTGTTTTGCAGTCATTATTGATAAGTACTTTTTATATCATTGCTGTGTCAGTATATCCTGGATTTTAAAAAAATATTCATCCCTGCTGGGAATTTAGAGTGATTCTGCCCCATGCCTTGCAAGCACAAGGACCCAAGTTCGATCCCCAGTACCCAGAAGGAAAAAAAAAAAAATCACCCCTGACTTTTCTGATGTGCAAGAGATTAATATTTTCTGAAACCACCCGATTATTTGTTGATGGCTGCTGAATTGTAAAGGTTTTTGGGGAGCATGTGTTTTTAGACCAATCATTTTTGGTGAAATAATTTGATCTAATACAGGTGTATTCATTTAAGGACCTGCCTGCTTAACAACTCTTTGGACTTAAAACTGAGGTGTAGTTAGGACTTACAGTCCTCCCCTTTGGACTTGTGACTTTGGGGTGGTGTGCTTGTACATCCTTTATAGAGCTTCAATGTCTTTCGTACAGTACATATCAGTACTATAATTTTTGCCGATTATACTGTACAGTACTGTTTTGTTCTATTATATATTACTGCATGGAAGAGTTAAATAGAAGGAAAGCCAAGTTGGAGTTTCCTTTGGCCATTGTTTCTCACAAGTTTTCTAATGTACATATACTGCAGTGGTACCTCAATGTGTGAACTTTGTTTTACAATTTGGGGAGAGATGGCTGCATTTGTATTTGTGTGGGGAAGATTATCATGGCCATGTTTGTCACCCAATGTGCAGTTTCCAAGTGGAAGCAAAATTTTGCTAAATGCTTCTGTTTACAAATTATTGTTTACAAAACAAAACATTTGTGAACCAAGGTATTGCTGTATGTATACAATTCCTCATCTAGAGACTAATTTATCTAATGAC